ATTTAAATATGAATCTAGATTTATTTCAAAAAAGAAATTTTATGATATTCTACGAATTCTTTATATTTTATTATATATAAAAAATATATAATTTTTCTAATATTAATACTTCTTAATAATTTAGAAATATATTTTTTTATTTTTGAAATATTTTTTTCATGAGAAATCCCTTAATTAATACAATGATTAATAATTAGATTTAATAATCAATTCTTGATTTTTAGTTCCAATTTTGCTTTCAAGAAATCTCATGAATTTGAAAATAAAGGAGGGCATGATATTCTATATAATTCTATAAATAAGAGGCCTGGCACTCTTATTTATATAATCTCCATTATAGATTCTTAATATATGTTTATTATTTAATTTTCTCATATAATATCAATAACTCGAGTGAGAGATACCATTATATTTTGATATTCAGATTGAAATATTATATTGATCTATCTCTCCCGATTAATCTGAATTCAATCATATATTCGCGAGTCGAATTAGATTTCTTATATAAAGATATCATCATGATTTATAGATCATATTGAATTCAATTCTTTTCTATATAACGAGAATGATAGCTTTGAAAAAATTGATTGAAATCCGGTCAATTCTTATGGAGTGTAGATTCGAAATTTCTTCTCGAATTTATTTTTGGCAGATATATTAGCCCTAGATAAGGGATCAAGAATATATAATTCAAATATTTCAAGGATAGATCAAATAATTAGGAAAAATTATTTAGGCAGGCTTCAGATTCTGCCTTTAATTCGAATATATATATATCGATAAATATAAAAAAAATTATTAGTCGTACCATGAATTTAGATAATATAATGGCAAAATTTAGATCGATATATAGAATCGAAGATCTTGAATTTAGCTAGAAAGTTTAGAAATATTTGAAAAGATCATTTAATTCTTCAATAATAAGAAATAATTTAAAATCAAGAATAAATATATGAAATCTCATGAACTTGCTGAAATAAAATCAAATATCGAATATCTTACCTCAATATTATTTTTATTTAAAGAAATATATTAATAAATAAATATAAATTATAATATCTATTATAATCATATAATAAAATCAATTTTAGCAATCTTTTTCTAATTAATTCGAATATTTGAATTACAAAAATAAAATTTCATAATTAATAAGTCCATAATATACCCCGCCCCATAAAATACCATATGTTTTATAATGCCATCTAATCCGACACCCGCATTTTTATAATAAAATTATATATATTTTTATATTTTTCAATTAAATATTTCCAATATTATATATAGTTAATTTATTAACTAAAATCTAGAGAATATCTAAAATTTTTAATATTAAGATTTCTCAAAATCCTAATATCCAAGAATCCGATTCCAATAGTCCATATTTTAAATCATAACCTATATAGAATATTTCATAATCTAAGAAATTATAGCTAATCTTTCCGACTTCCTCAAATTTTCAGAAATCTTCGATATCTTTTATTATATAAATCGGACCTACTTACTACAGAAAGATATCCGTATATAAATTCAATTATATAGTCCCTGAATATCTCCGATCAAAGTCATATAAATCTTCTTGGCATGCTCATTTCTACGAATCATTTTATTCGTATAATTTCTATTATATAATTCAATCTATTTTATATTAATCTCTTTCATTTCTAAATAAAAAATATAAAAATAAATCCCTGAAAGTATCCTATTTATTTCATCATACTAATTCAATATTTAAAATAGATCCAATCCCTCCTATCTCATAAGCTCCTCCCGAGCCCCGCAGCGCACCGACCCGACTAATTTATCCTCCATTTTTCCATATGAATAACTAGTCGGTGCGGACCGAGAGAATATGAAGAGTACGTAAAATCGATTGAGGCTCTATATTAGAATTATACTTGTTTAACTACCGCCCGAAGAAACAACCACAAATTGAAACCTTATCTTTTTTTACTCCCTATCCTTTTACACATCCGACTCGTACCAGGCACTTGAAAGTGCTGCTTTCTTTATCTCTAACTCCCACAGCGGAGTTTATGCTCAATCCCTTTTTTTCCTTATGTAGAAAGGTGGGATTATATATTTTTCAATAAAGCTTCTCCGTGATGTTTGGTTCCGTTTGAAGTCGAATTGTCTGAACCGCATTTAAATCCAAAATACGAGATTGAATCGCTACAACCCTGATTGCTGAAGTGGTCTGGACTTGTGAGTTTGCAATTTCCTGGCGTGCTGGTTCCTAGAAATCGCGAAAATGTGTCTGGTGTTGCATGATGAAGCTGCACATCCAAAAAATACTTGTCGCAGCCGACTACGTTGTCATCGCAACTCTTTCAATTTTAAATCAAATCTCCCGGCCACGCGTCGCTTGCATCAGGGGCCTTTCCGAGACCTGTTTCGAACAGAGTCTCGAAAGATGTGGCCGTGGTTGTCAAAATTATGGTCCCTATTTGGGTCCTTATTATAATACGGCACCTATCATTTAGGGTACCAAAAGGGACAATAATTTTGACAACTACCCATGTGGCTGTGGGAAGCTCCCCAGCCTTGAGAGACGCCCAGTCGCCTCTTCCAGCCGACGTTTCCCACCTCGGCCAACTCAGCGAAGAGGGCGAAAGGATCCGGGGAGACTTTGCCCGACGAGCTGCCACAGCCGCTTCGCCAGCTCTGGCAAGCCATTAGCGGAATCCTGTCCTGACAGTAGACAACTGTAGACAATGCAATTGCCGGACAAACGGTTAGAGACACTGCGTCATTTCTGTGCGCCCTCACTCACTTTCTGACTTAGAAGAAACCCGGAGCTGGCAGGCCTGGCTGCCGACGCCGGAGCACAATGATGCTTGCATCCAGAAAGCCAAGTTTCAGCCTTTCAGGGCTGCATAGGCTCAGGCCCGGCCTTCTTTGCGGCCGGGTCTAGCGTCACGTGTTGCATAAGCCGCGGGCTCTCGTCGTGCATAGCAGAGCCAGGAGGCCTTTGCCGAGCCCAAACGTTGCACGAGCTTCATGTAGGAGACATTACTGAAGTTTCCTTCGTGAGAAACCATGCCCCTAATCAGTGCTGCAAGAGATTTCAGGGTATATAGTAAGTCGGAAATTCAACACCAGCAAGGATCCTTGTAAGCTGAATGCCTTGGATCTGAACACATGTCTCACGGCCGAATCCGTCGTTGGGCATCTGGCTTGGGCGGAATGCAGATTTGCAGCTTCCAGGACCCAAGGCTCCTGGAGTCACTAAGCAGCTGCACCATCTGCTGCACACAAGCAACGCAAAGAAACTACGGATGAGCCTGCTCAAGAGAAGAAATCAGAATCAAGCGGCCGTCGGCATCCGATCGCACGACCTGCAGTTTTCAGTGCGCAAAATCAAGTCAGAACCACCAGATCACGGCTTACTACCGGTGCAACTGTGTTGTGCTTGCCTTTATTTGTACAGTATGGTGGGCGAGCTAAGCAACGGAGTGCTAGCTGGCCGGAGTCTTACCGTCCCAACACCTGAATCCACGCAGATCCCAGTTCTGAGACCAAGCAGTCACAAAAGCGTGCTAGAGTCAGCTGCGTGCCCGTCGTGCTTCATCTAGACCAGAACAGCATCATTTAGCTGAGCATGATTGAACTTCCTGTGGCAAGAAAGCAAGGGAAGGCACTGTCCTCGACCCTCGGGATGAGCATCCCGAAGGATGTCAAGCCACCAACACGACATATCTCTGTGTAATGAAAGCTTAAACATGTGAAAAGGTTGAGTTGCACTGCACGACAGCACAAATTGACAAAACCACATCAGTCACATCCCGCTTCTTCTGTAAGACCCCGGCGCGGTCGAACTCTTTAAGCACAGCCTCCGCATGTCGGAGGTAAGGCGAGGTCAAGCAGGGGTATATTATAGGCATAGGGTTTAGGGTTTAGGGTTTAGGGAACGCCAGAGAAACCCGCCTTGTATAAGCTGTCTCTGCAGCCTTCGACGGTGCCATACTGGCGTCCAAACGGAATGTCGCATATCACCGCATCAACCTCGGTCAACAGGGCTTCGGTAATGCACTGTAGAGGCTGAAACGTGAAAGATCGAAGGCAACAGATGCCTAGCTGATCCCAGTGTGTTTCATCGTAACTCGTTATGCATTGCATCACCTGCGGCTTGCAGCAAACCTTCTCGCGGCATCTATGCACCAGCGAAAGTTGAATTGTTCCCAAGCTGCACAGTTTCTCGCTATTTCTCGCTGGAAGCGCTGAAAAAACCCAGAATTCAAGGTGGAGATTGGGCAGACTGCGCAGCACTTCAATAGTTCCGTTGCTGTGGGAGGCAGATGCCGATTCATGCCACCAATTTCCACGTAGCCACTCGAATCATCGCAGCTCACATGCTGGTGACAACTATCCATCGAGCAGAGCAGCAGGAAACAGCAGAGAAGCCTGAGCCCCAAAACTCAACGTCTCCTGGAAGTGGCGGACCTACAAACTTGGGCGATGGCCGAGCGATCTGGTAATGGCAACCTCTGGGCATCGCCCAAGAGGAGGTCCTGACTTTCGGATGTTTGGAAGAATCTGTGTCACACAAAGCCGGGGTAGGTGATGGTTGATGCTCTGAGAGTAGATACCACTTGCCAGGATTCCACTTGGTCCGTGGTGTAACGTACCGAGCATCCAGTTCTTTCGTAAGGAGCAGACCAATCGGGCACCACTCGCCTGTGCCAGCTGAGCCTGCGGAAGGAATTTGTAAGGCCAATGCCACCTGCATTGCGGGGGAACATTTTGGCACAGACAGGATTGTTTGTGGAGGATTCCATTGAGTTTATGAACCCTTAACCCTAAACCCTAAACCCTATAGATTAAGGACCAGAGACCTGATGAGACCAGCCAAGTCTCGCACGTTGCTGCGCGCACCGGACAGCTGACTCGCATCGAGGTCCACGCCTTCGGCAAACTCGACGGGCAAGGCTTCAAAAGAACACGAAGCCCATCCGCACTCAGAAAACCTAGGCCTATGTAGTGGCAGTTGGGCCAGCTGAGGGCAGCCTCGAAGCAAGGGCGCTAGTACAAATGGGTCCACAGCACCGTCGAGCCAGGCAATGTGGTGTGCCTCCACCAGGATAACAGCCTGGCTTACACTCCGTGTGGATATGCAATGGATATGCAGCTTTGCTCGGAGTGACTGTCAATGCATGCAGATGTGCAGCTATCGTTCTAAGCTCATAGATCATACAGTACAGGAAGCAACAGCGTTTTGTTTGAATCACACTGCCCGGGTTCCAGTGGCCTTGCCGCACATCGGGTCGAGCACACGGTCGCCTTGCTTGAGCTCGGCTGACCGAGCCAATGCCCAGGCCTCAAGGATTTGCAGATGGATTCCAAGCGAATTATTGACTTTCTAAACCGGACGTTCAAGACCCAAGACCGCAGCCACAGGTGCGGCCATGCCCGCACTGCAAAGCTCTCCGCCGCCGCTCGGTATGCTTTGAACCTCAGAGCAGCCAGCGCAGGTTTCGCAGGCCCAACTCACGTGGTGAAATCCAGCCCTTGGTCACGGAAACCTCCGAAACAAATGGAACATCCTGGAACAGCACGTTCAGTCCAAACCCGCACTTCTGAGCATCCGTCAAGAAGCGGAAGGTCGACCAGGATATCGCTGTCGCTAACCTGCATTAAGAGATTTTATTAGGTGGGCTTTTGGGATCTGGGATTTTGTCACCATTCTACAGTCCGGGCAGCCGGCCAAGATCCTCACTTCAAGATCGGGGCGTCTCACCTGCAAAGCTGGTGGGAGAACCTCTCGCAGGCAGAAACCTGCAACGCACGATGCTCTGCACTGGCCTGGGCCCGCCAGCCTGCCAGGATCTCACATTTCACTCTGATACCATCACCGTCAGCTACGCCAGACAGTGTGGGCTTCTGTTTTTTGGTGCACTTGCCACCCGCCTTGCTTGGAGGCAATGGCCGTTGCTGCGGCAACTGCAACCCCTGCCAAGCTTTTGACACGGTCTTCTCACGCTCTCTTACGGGTGCAGTCTGATGTCCTATCATGAAGAAGGTGCTGCAACACATGATGTGCTCATGGTGGCAGACTCTCCGACCTTGGGATGATAGCTGCGCAAATCGTTTGCCCGATCGCCGGCAGGTGATTTTGAACCTGGCCAACGTCTTACGCATGTCACAGCGTCCATGCCTTCGTACTGCAAGCTGCATGTCTCTTTGGCAGCGAGACCCCCACACAAGCATGACACCATGCATGAACGTTTTCGGCGTCTCTTGCGCATTTGTAGCCTTAAGGCTGTGTCCCTCGGCACCGAGGCACAGCCTACCGCTTAGACATGGAGTCCTTGACTTGATGAGACAGGAGTTCCTGAGAATCGCAAGAAGTTGCGAAATGTTGTGAATGTCAACACACCTTTAGTCAACCATGTTCCCTCAATATGAACTGGTTTCTGACGGTTACAGACTTTACAGGACCGGTCCTGGCTTACCAAGGAGGCAAGTCTTCAATAATCCTGCGTTACGCAGAAAAAGAGGTCTCGGCCCTCAGCTATAAAGTGGCTGTGGACACTTGGCCCCCACACTTTACATTCCTAAGCTGTCTCTGAAGACACTGAATGAGCTACCAAACTCTAAGCTTCCTCAGGCAGCTTCAGGATTCTCTCCAATTGCTGCTTCAGCGCAGGAAGAAGCCTTGGTTCATGCAAGCACGAGAAATGCGATTCGATGCGGTGCAAGCGCAAGCGGCGTGCGGGCAGGACTCGTGCTCTGCCAATCCTCGTCGGACAGGAAATGGCCCTGGCCCTCCAGCGAGACGATGTCGGTGGACCATGCAGCAGCCGTGCCTCGCATCCATGCAGCTGACACCAGCCACGGAATATGCCAAAAGATTGCACAAGAACAAGGTGCTCTCATGGCACCAGAGGGGAGTCAGGACGTCCCCAGATCCAGCGATGAGAGAAACGGGCTTGTTCCCATCCTCCAGGGCCCAGGCAATCGAAACCAATGACTTTATAGCTTCCCCTAACCAAGCCTGCATGAAAGAAGCCTCTACCCTGATCCGGCACCTCCGATTTGCCACGGCAAAGACTGAAACCGAGTAGCCCGAGAAGCAGATTTACCGACTCGACCTTTGCGATGCCTCCCAGCTGCATTGGGCGGCAGTCTGCGCACTCATGTCACAGAAAGGAACGGCCTTCATGGTACTGCTGAAACGTCTGCGGACTCCCCGTTATTGTCACAATGCTCGGGTTTCCAGCGAAACCTCAACTTTGAGGGCAGACGGCAATGCTGGGCTTTCACAACTGACATCTATGCGCTGCCCGGCGCAGTGTGCAGTTTCATCCCTAGGTAAGCCGACCTCACCTTGATGCCTTCTGAGACACCGATTGATTGGCACCGGTGTGCGCTCCGGCAGAAGTAGCCACCGCCCACCAGCTGCGCTACATTCATTGACACGAGAACCTTGGGCGCTTAGCATTGCTCAGTGGGTGCGTGCATGTAAATGGCACGATTGGTTTGGAATTCAAGTTATTGAATCGAAGGACCATGAACACACCAATACAGAACGTCGCCAGCAGATGAAGAAAAAAACAAATATATGTACCTCGGAAGCATGTTGAATAGTCTTGAACAAAGCAGCATTGCGATTGCACAAATTGCACCTGAGCAGTCACGAGGTATCTTGGAAACTCTGGGCGCAGGTGGTTTTCGCAAAGTTTGTCGAGTCTGTTCTGCAGCAGGAGCACAAAAGCTCATCACTGGCACCGGACACAGCAGGATTGCTCCCTGCACTTTGGCAGCCGTATCCTTCTTTTTCGCGAGCAGAACCTGGACGTCGATACAAACAACCCCTCGTGGAGAACTTGGCGATGCACCCCGTGAGCCTCCACGATGGAGCCCCCCAGAGAGTGGCCAAGCAGGACGACAGGTTCCTGGCTGCAAAGCCCGGATTTGAGATCTTCTCATCCCCAACCCGGCCTCGAGGTTGCGCAAAGCATCTTCTACCTGACCAACATAGTTGCTCAGGGAGGTACAGCGCGACTTCTCCTTTCGCAAGCGGCTTGTTGGTGCGCATTCCGAGCACAGAGCTGGATTAGAAGCAAAGCAGCGACTGATGAGTCTTAGCCAGACTGTTTGCCGCGCAAATTCGCAAAGCCTTGGTTTAAGGCTTAGGGGGTTAGGGCTTCTTTTGCAAGAACTCTGGGTGTTACCCTCGCAGCTGCAAGCAGTTCTCCAGGAAGAGCGCCACAGAGGTGTAGCCGCTGTCTGCAAGTGCTGTCATGGGACCTTCGGCTAGTTCACAGTCTGGTGCGGCTCTTGGGACTCGTGTGTACAGGCACGGACTCAGATAAAGTAATCGCCGTGAACACAGTATGCAAGACAGGCTTGTCGGAACACCGCGATGGAACCTGCTTGAGAAAAACACGAAACTAAGTCGTGACGGTGCGCCCTGGAACACTGCAGCAGAGTCGTGTGTCGCACCCGGCACCCAAAGCAGTGTCGCCCGTCGTGGTACCTGACTAGGCGCAAGTCAGCTTTCAAAAACGTACTCGCATGCTCCAGGCGACAGACAGGGACATACCCAAAAAAATCACCACAGGCATGCCATTTGCCAGCTCAGCAGCATGACTAGCGGCATGAACCACGAAGCTTGACGAAGTGGACTGAACATATCCACCGTCTGCCATCGCAAGTGTGGGATGGAGTCACAGCCCCCAGTGTGACCGAGTCCGGGTGAGCTGAGAGCAGCCTACACGCAGAAAAGATCTACCACAGCGTACTCCTATGATGAAATGTATTAAAAACAAGGCATGTTAACCTTCCAGCCCACGCTCGTGGATTCGGCGGCTCGAGCCATGCGGCTGTTGACACGTGAGTTAGCCACAGCGCAATGAGTACACGCCGGTGAGAGCAGTGATCATGCTGTAGGCCACGAATGCAAGTCTGATTAAGGCCATTGAAGTGTTGTTAGCCTTTTAAATAAAGCTGGCAATAGTACTCGCCTCATACAAACAAGAACATGTTCATTCTCTCCCTACTGTCAGCAACATGAACCGAGAAACAAACGTATTTAAAATTTACCTCGTTGAACCTCCCGATCCAGAGGACAAGCTAATATTGTGTGTCGTGTTGGTGTGACGAAGGTCCATGATGCTCATGTGACTGAGTAAGCATGACCGAGCCAACTCAACATTCCTAACCTGGGCAAAGCACCAAAAACGTGCCTATGCTGAGGACATACTCCTCAGGGCGAATGGCACAAACCTGAAATCTACCGCTGTGTGTTAATAACTCATGTCTTCACCGAGCATGCCACAATAACCATTACTATCAGATACTATCAACAGTCGCACAACAGCCAACACGCCCCGGAGCTTCAAGTAGATCCCTGTCGCCAGGGGCACGTGAGGGGCTCGATGCCATCCTCGTCTCCTGCGCGGGATGTGTGAGCAGGAACTCTGCACTAATATTCCTAACATTCCAGCTTTGTCTTGGGTGGCTCACTTCTGGGGCTTACGCCATAGATTTTGACGCTTGGATGGCCTGCAACAGGCCTCTGCCTTGCCTCAGCTCCCCTTTTTGCTGCGCAGGGTGAAACAACGAAACAGGAAAAAGGCACAGCCGGTGCCAAAGCCTGGCCCGCAACACCTCACAGAGCTCCTGAGGGTGACATCTACGACTCTGGAGTAGAAGCTTCCTAATCTCACCTCTGGCACCTGGGGTCCTGTGAGCCAGGCTGGGAAGACACACCGCATTTTTACAGCCATGGCTTTGTATCGCCAGTCTGATCAACAATCAAGACAAGGACACGCTGCTTTAAAGGTTCGAGAGCTTTCATCCAGACCTTCCGTACGGAGTCCATTTCGGATGGATTGCAGTTCCGCAGAGGGTCAATAATCAAAAGAACTCTGACAGCCCCAAGCGAGATTCGGAAGATTGCTTGGGCTAGCTGGACCCGGAGAGCCTCCGGTTTCGACATATTGGATGCCCAATCCGTGCTTTCAACACCGTTGGGGAGGTTCACCACTTTGCTCCACATGCCGGCTTGTTCTAGACACGGCTGCAAAGGCATGCCCATGTCTTCCAAGCCCATCTGCACGTACTCGGCCAAGGAGCTCCCCTGGCCTGGCGTCCTGGCAACGCTGCAGGGCAGAGGCGCGTGGTCGATGATGTGTATGGAGAAGTTAATCGTCTCGAGCTCGTAGTGCTCCACAAACTCTCCATTTAGCTTGATCTTCGCTGGAGCATCCAACATCCGCAAGAGCAGCTTGGCGAAGGTTGTTGCCCCCGAACTGCGGGGCATACTCATGACGTTCAGCTTCCCGGTCATGGCCGAATGGAGGGCAGGAATCTTCGCAAAAGGTCCAAACTGTGCTGAGCCGAGGCAGTAAGTGAAACCTTGTGGGATCTCCATGCAGATTTCAGCGGACAACTTGTTGATGCCGTCCTGTGTCAAACAAGTAAGAAACCAAGTACTGGTAGGCCAAAGGCATGTTGGGTCGAATGTACTCTCATGCAGCACTCTGGGACTTTGGAAATGCAACTGCAGCTTAGGGTCAAAGCGTGGTGCCGCCATGCGCAGCAGGGCTCGTGACAGCAGAAACAAACGCTCCAAAGAACCAATGGAGGAGGACAGCTGCAGCAGCGCTTCACCTCCACACTGAATTCTGTACTTCTTGGCTCCATCTCCCCCAGTTAGCATGCAGGCTGCACTTTCTTACGTTCTCTTACGTTCTTCACTTCCTTGAAAGAGGCCCACAGCTACAGCAATTTTGTCTGGGAAATCGTGCTGTAGTAGTCGGTACGAGTCACAGGATCGCCGCACTGCGCTCAGGAGAATCGGAACAGACACAGCATAGACGGAGTAGCTGTGAAGACACTCCGCAGTCGTTCCGGCTGCGCTCGAGTGGAAGAGCTTGAAGAGGGCCAAGGTGATGCAGGCCAGCTCCGTGTAGCGGAGGAAGATCTGCACACCGATACTTCTCCGTGCAACCATAATTACGGACAAAAAGGAGACGGGACGACAGCAGCTGTGAAGTCAAGCTACTACTGTAGTAGCTCGGAGCTAGGGGAAAAAAGAGAAATGCTCAGCCAAGTGGGCCCGTTTCTTCCAATGCCATCGGCATCGTCAAATGTTACGTGCTTGAGACTAGGATCCCATACAAGTAGCAAACGTGGTTCTCGGGCAGCTTCCATTTTGGAGCTGTTTCGGGCCTCGGTTTGTACTTACGATACGGCCGGTACTGTTGGATCACATTTTGTTTTGGGCTTCCTCCAGGCCGGATTGAAAGACCTGGCTTTGGCTGCCTAGGGAAATCTTCAAAAAGATCGGGATGTCGGTCAATGTCCTGAGATTGCGGATTTAAGCCGGGTAAGCTCAGCTGGGTGTCGGCCGGAATGGTTCGTCCGTGGTCACGGCATGTGCGCCCAGGTGATCTACGTCCTACGACACCGTACGACGCGGGTCCGCCGCAAAACAGGGTGCAAGACCAAGAAGCAGCCTGCATCACCTGGTGGATCAAGGTGAGCTTCTTGCGCTGCTCCAAGTTGCCGTCTTGAATCTCTTCGTATGTAGCCTTTACCGCGGAAGTCTTCTCGGCCATGGACTTGACTTCGAAGAAGTTGCTAAGGGTACTGAACATGTCGGAGTACAAGTACCCGATCATGCTGCGTGTTTGTCTGGAACAAGTTCTGAGGCTAAAGCACGCCAGGAGCGACATGGCCACCATGAGAGCGCCAGCCGAGAATGCCACGAAGACTGCATTCCAGACGGGCTTGCTGTCACAAGTCGGTTGTGTGGCGGCAAGCCCAAGGACCGCCAGCAAGGCACCAATGACCGTGAGGGACTCGATAGAGAAGTCGTTGCAAGACTCCAGGACGCCCTGAAGGGCACGCGTATCTCCAACAAGTCGGCTCCAAACTTCCGAGAACATCCTCGTGGTGAAGGCCTCGGTCTTGATGTTTAGAAGAGCCAGGTACATGGAGGTCAGGACATTCAGCATGGCATAGTTAGCAGATCGGATGAAGAGCCAGGCGCCAAGAAGGCTAGTACCCGCAGCTGCAAGGAGCCAGAAAGTGCCCAAAATGTGATTAATCACTAGAATGTACAAGACTGCGGCCACACAGTTTACCAGGAAGGCTCCCAGAAAACCCGGCCATGCCAACTTGCCGATCCGCACAAGCTGAAGAAACGCCTCCGTGATGGTGAGCTTGCCGAAGAGATTCTGCGCCAGCAGCGGATCGGCATTATCTGGCAGAGTCTCGTCCTGCCCCCAGACACACACCGATTCAAAGTGTGAACAAACCCGTCATGCCAAAAAGTCCTGGGTTGAGACCTGCTGCAAAATCATGGTTCAGCCGAGTCCTGCTCCATGAAGGCACCGCCACTCGTCAAAATGCCTGGCCGCTAGAACACTGGACTAATTACATGTCATGCGTGTGGCGGCAGAATGCTAATTACCACCAAAAGAAGGTTACAGACCGTAGACCAAAAGCCGACGGAAATCCGACGAGCTGCGGTTGACCACGTTCCGAGCACGTGCCTTGGAGCTCTCGAAGGCGGCGCGCCGCAGGGTCCGCGTGCGGCTGCCGGGGGCTTCGCTGCCCCCCATCTCGAAGGTGTAGCCCACCTGCGTCTGCTCGAAACCTGTCTGACCGATGATGGAGCCGTCCTCCACGTGCATCGCTGCAGCACTTCGTATCTGGCGCAAGTATGCCAAATGCGCATGTGAAGGATGTTCGGAACTGTCGCAGCCTGCAATGTGTGCCTTGAGACCGTGCGTGAGAGCAGTATCTGCGATGCTGTAGGGCACTAGGAAGCTTTCGTCCAGAACCATTTGGTGGAAGCGAAAGTCTCGGAAAGCACTCACTCGGGTTCGGGACAGCTGCTCTGCATATTTGGCTTCCTTCCACCTCTCGACTGCTTCGGAATTCAGCTCACTTTCAAGCTCGAGTCGATACCCATGCCTCGCAATGAGGGAGTTGACGTGAGCATAGCACTCCCCCCAAAGCACGTGTGGGTACTGCTGCTTCTCTACAAAGCCGAGACGGACAAGCTCCGTGTACACTTTCATGTACATCTCATTTCCTTTGGCCTTGGACAGGATCTGAAACATTGTCATCTTGGGAAGCTTCTGCTGGCTATAGAATCTCTTTGTGTGGTCAGTGAGTTCCACGTTGCGACAACGCCCTTTCATCCATTGGACCATGGCTCGTCCAACAACCCTGGGGGCCGCGATCACGTTGCCACGATCATCGAGTGTGCTTACCTCGGAAGTCGTAGCTGGCGCCGTCATGCTCCTCAGCATGTGCTCACCTGCCACGTGCTTGCACGAGCCAAACCGACACTGCTGTGTGAACTACAAGGGGTCATATGGAGTCCGAGTCGCGGCAGACCTTGGCGTTGATTAAGAAAACTTTCCCGTCACCATCGGAGACAACTAGGCATTGGTTCTGTGTCAGGTCGCGTGTAGCTAGGATGTTCCCAACTGTGTCATAGCTGTACTCAACATCCTGTGCCTCGACCGGAATACCTCCAATCGTAAGGCCCTGATCCACGAGAGCTTTCATCTCGACCTTCTTGTGCTCCTCTCCATCCTGGAGGAAGTAGATGAGATCGATATCGTTGAAGCCGGCAATCTCGGAAACTAAATCTGGGTTCTCGGAATCCAGCCACAATATCTTGCCCACCAGCCGGGCGATGCCTCCTTTGTACCCGGTGAAGGGATGCTGCACAGCCCATTCCAAGAGCTCTTGCAGTGGCAAAGTGGCGTCTTCGCTCTTGACATTCCCGAATCTTGCGGGGTCCAGCTGCGTGACTTCTAGCACGACGCCTGCAGGATGCGCAGATGTCAACGTGCTCTGAAACATGTACCGACAACAAAGAGGAAACTCCGGCCAACTTACTCCACGGTGCTGTCCAACTCATAGACTTCAGGGCAAACCATCCGCAGGTTGGCGTATGACACCTGCGGCGGCTCATGGCGTAGGGCACATGACGCCTGAGGATGCTTCGGTGGTTCCTCTGTAGCAGACAGCTGAGGCTCGGGCACGGCGAAAGATGTCCCTTACGGCAGTGCAAGTTTCAATCGTGGCATTGTGATACAAGACTTCTGAATCTCACACTGCGACCATGTTTCCAGGGCATGGGTACTGGCCACCGCAAGCGGCGCCATGGCAGCGCCATGATCAAGAGGACGACGACCACACCGCTGAGGATCAAGTTCACCAGGGCGATGCTCTGAGAGGAGTCAGGACCTGAGAAACCCACTCCCACTCCTTGGAGGAGCTGAGAGGGCATCAGCAAGACCCGCCATGTCATCTTTTGTCAAAAAAAGGGACGCCAACCGCGCTATCTTCGGGCCAAACGCTCTCAGAGGCGAAGTTCAAGCACAGGGCTGCCAACTCAGAACTTGCACCGGCTTTCACCGGGCTCAAGGCTTTCACTCGAGTTTGATTGGATTGGAGAAGTCTGTCCTCTTCCGTTGAATCTCCACCTTGGAACCGCGCGAATCGCTTGCCAAACTGGCATCGAAACCAGAAACTCAAGCGTGCATGCGGCAGGCAGCCAAGGTACCAGGTGCGCAAAGCTGGCTTCCAGCCATCAGCCCCAGCCACCCAACCAGCGACAGCCTTGTCAAAAACATGCTGATTCCTAGTAGCAGCAAAACACTGATATAAGAGGCTGAGCAACAGAAACGGTTTACAATCATCACACCGACAATCATAACACTAGAAACGCGAGCGGCAGCAGCCAGAATAAGTGCAACAGTGGCAGCTGTTGCAGAAGTGTTTTGCACTCATGCACTCACGATCATCGTACTTACATAGCGATAGCAGCACCAGCCGAAATACTAATAGCAAACATACTAGTAATCGTACTGCAAACGGCTGTGCTACCAATAACTGCACATTTCTCCACAGCAACAATAAAAACAGGATGTTTACAGCAGGAGAGCATAAGCTGTTTAATTAAATAGAGAGACATGAGACAAGACAGAACCAGACTCTGACATGGGAAACACCACATTACGCTTGGTGCTCGAAGTGGCACAGGTCTGTGCATCCAAGAACCATATTCTCTGTGCTGCTATGACTGTGCGCGCGCTTTGGCAGCATCGAAGTCATTACTGAATATTCGTGATGCTTGTCTTATGATTGTGTTAGCTGTGCTGTGAGGATTGCTCTTGACTTTCGTCCTATGTTCTCTCTCTTTGCTGATAAATTCTGATGGTTGCAGCTACTGTTACTGTTCCGATTCGTGTCATTCCTGCCGTGTTAACGTTGACTGCCTACTCAACAGAAACGTCTGTCAGACTGCGTGCTCCTCGCATGCTAGTCACTGGCAGCGAATGCATTGAAGAACCGCCCAGGGCTGCAGTATTTCCTCGCTTGGTTTCAAACCTGACCCAGTTCAGTGACATGTTCCTCCTATTAGTGTTTGCCTATTTGGAGTTTCATATAGCTTGTAATGCCTAGAACTCGTGCTATGCTTGGATGTATGGTAATGACTGGTAATGTTAGCATATCTAGGCCTATGCAAGTATTCAGCTTCATAGCTTAGATGTAGGCGGCATAGTTGTAGGTCGAGGTTTTAAGACGGTTCGCCTTGACACTCCGTGTTTCATCAATTTTACATTGCCGGCTCTGGCGTTCAGGGTCTAGTGCTTCCATTGCCGAGACACGTCCCAACACGCCTAATCCAAGTGCAACCGAGCTGGGAACATGGCGCTCTCTGCTTCTGGGCCGAAACCACCAGCGCCATGGATGACCTCTCTGGCCCAGTTCAGCAAGATCGGCTCGGATCCGGAGGGAAAGGCAGGGACCCGCCTCTGAGACGTCTGCCCCGCTGGCTCGCATAACCTTATGCATAAGTTGCGGCTGCGGACTGGCTGCGGCATCCAGACACATGACAGCAGTTGGCAGCAATCGAGACGCAGGCCACAGCACAGACTTTCTCGGCCGATTTCAGTGTTGCAATCGCTGCCGGTGCACGATCGCTGCAGAAGAAGACCCGGCATTGCACCTCGCCGACTCACCGACGCCATCTCGACAGCGCCACAGCAAAGCTCGGTCGGTGATTTGAGGAATCCTGCGGTCCAAGCGCCCGGTGCATGGCTTTGGCACCAAGACGTAGAAGCTCCCAGGAGGCCAGCTTGTCGAGACCTGTCCGGTTCCCGGCTGCGAGAGCACAGTCTGAGGATGGTTTCAGCTGCCGGCCTCCCTGGCTAAGCGTCATAACGAACTCAGCCGTTTGTTCCTTCCGTCAGCACCATCCGATTCGCATGTCCGCGACAGCTCCAGGCAAAAGCTGGTCAGCAAAAGGTCGGTTGTTTTCATCGACTGCTGTAAGAACGTTCTCATACGACCAGAGCATCACAGTATCCCTGATATTTAGCCATAAGAAGACTCAGGGCGCTCGTGTGCGTGCCTGCGCTTCCTCCGGGATGACTTCATCCAAACCCTGCAGAAAAACTGGCAAAGAAGACATGATGACACAGGACACAATGAGTCTCAGAGTGCACAACAGAAAGCCCTTGCCTCAATTAATTGCAGTACTTGGTGTCTACCAACAGCTACACAGCCCCATCAGACCGAGCACAAGATGCAAAGATACGTCAATTGGACCCGCGTTAAAGATGTTCTCCTTGTCAGACGAACGTCAGGATTTGAGGAATAGTTAACGGATTGTTTCAAAGACGCAGGCTTTGGAACTCGCAGGCTTAGTTCCTGGGGCACCAGAGGGGAGGCGTACAGTGTGGTCGTCGAGAAGTTGCTTTTGAGTCCCAGAGCCACCCCCAAAAAGCGGACGGTCCCGGATCCCTCCATCCATCCATGACGCACCAAGCTGGTGGCCTTCCTGTGGTCTATCATGGTCTATCGACCCTCAAGCCTCGAGGGGGCGCAGAGTCCTTCAGAACCATTAATCCAATGGGAGTTTTGAGCCCGTCTTGCAGTCGACTTAGCACCTTAAGGAGTGGATCGTGAAGATGCTGTCAGGCTTCATTCAAGCTTCGAGATTTTGCTGGAGGCGTTTCCCAAAGATGCCTTGATTCTGAAGTCTATACTGCCTCTTGCCGCAGGGTACCGAAAGGTCCACGACAGAACTGAAAAATGACTTCCGGATGTGATTGGTGCCTGTGGTATCGAGACTTGCATGGAGCCGAATGGACACCGCCTGGTCGTGCATTGCAGCGCGAAGCAAACGGGCCACCTGCAGAAGAGATGGTCCGTGCTTGCTCCACATTAGCACTTCGAACGAGCTCCAGAAGCTTCAAACTCCAAAGTTCCGAAGCTAGCCTAACCCATTCAAAACTTCAATGCCAGCCGCAACTTGGCTACAAAACATCTGTTGAAGACCTGGTCGGGAAGACAGTTCTGACAGTCGTAGTGAGTGTACTCGCAATCACGCCTGTTTGTATTTCTCGTTCATGACGATCGAAGCAAGAAGCTGCCTCGCTGTCTGCACCGTGAACTCGCTGGGCCAAGTCGAGAGGCCGTTCCTCTCAATACTCTCGTCTCACTGAAAAACGGTTCACAGTTGGCTTACTCCAGAAGCCCTGAAACACCGTCCTGGCTTCCGATTCACCCGGGCCGCCCAGCAACCCTAACGGCATGAAGCTTGTCCAAGGCAGTTGTAGTCTCGATCCCACTACTCATGGATACCTTCACCAGCAGCGATGCTGCTTGCAATGTCGCCTCCTTCTGTGCACCGATTTGCTCCAGCACATGTGGCTATACAACAAATGCACGAATGCAGGTCTATCTTCGTGCGTGCAGAGTCTTCCATGTGTACTGTGCGCCACGCTGCAGCTGTGTCTCGTCCCTTCTCTTTTGCCTGCACTGATGGTGTGTGGGTGTGCGCACTCATGGCATGTGCTGGTCGGTGGGTTCCCGAGCATGCATCTACTTCACATACATGCATACAACGTGCAAGACTCACGAAACAGCCCCGAGGTTTCAAACTGGCGTTGTTGTTCGGCCAGCGCGTATCGTCGCTGGTCTCCGTCCAAAAGGACGGCACCGCCTAGAGCTTGGATCCTTGATTTTGTGCTACAAAACAACTCAGGAACCCAATTCACCAACGAACCTTGGAAGAAAGCAGATCAAATCGTGAATCATTTGTGGGACATTCACACTCCGAGGAAGTCCCCGTCCCGGCGTCCTGAGCAAGGTGTGTCCTGCAAAGCGAGAGAAATGCTCATTCAATCTAGAGTCTGGACACTTGGGATGCAACCGTCGTTGTCCTTTTCGCCATCTGACGCTCCGTGATGAGCTTCGGGGCTGCGGTCGCCTCCAGGCTCTACTTGTGGCTGAGGAGGCGACATGCTAAGCTTGCAGCAAGACTACTGCAACTACACACGTAAGGTATCTATACCTCTATATATATATATATATTATATGTACATTCTATATATATATATATATATGTTGTCACAGGTCTCGGCATGCAGACTTTTTGGCATCTTCAGGCGCAGAAGAAGCCAGATCACCGTGCCTCTGTCTGGCCGACACCGAGAGCTCTCTATGTACAGTCATAGGACATGCCTCGCGCCTAGATTTTCGGATCTTCGCACTCAGAGTTCTGGTCGAGGCTTCCTGTGCATAGAACCGCAATGAAGCAAAGGTCCATACAACAGAGGGCAGCTACGGATGTGTCAACCATCATGCCAAAGAACAGAGCTTGTCGCACCCATCGCCATGACTCGTCGGCTGACGTAATGCACACATTGCCAGTTGAGTCATCTAGAGGCCCCTACTTCATCCTATTGCGGTTCCTGGTTCCGAGTTTCATTACTCGTCTTGAGGCTTCGGAGTCCGGAGTCCGGCCTATTGGCCTGGACGTTTCTCGCCAAGCCCAGACCTGCGAAGACATCGCCAGGAACAATGAGCTCCACAGAGGCACCGGGAATGATGGCATTGCTACTAGGACTGGCGGATAAGCCCCAGTACAGAGTACATGCTGCTGCGACTGCTGCTACGGTTGGTACTCGTGCTACTAGCAACACCGTGGGAATCACGACGACGATTCTTAGACGGGGGATGAGGAAAGTGAAGATCCAGATTCTGAAATAACGAGGATCATGGACGTGACGATGGTCATTGCTACCTCCTCTGTTAAAGGAATCAATCGTTTGACAGCGGCAGTATTGGCGTTGTCTACAGTCGTACTCATGCTGTTTTAGAAGTAAACCACTGCGATTGCTTCTTGGTTCAGTCATTGTCTTTTGCTGTTGGCCTGTCACTGCGACGGCTGGTTTGATGATGATTGCTCATGCCCAGTGATTAGTTTTGTTGCTGACGTCGCTCTTGCTGTTGCTAATTACGAAGCGGTAGCTGCCAGCCTGTGTCGGAACCGCTTCCACAAATGAGCTGTTCTCAAATTCCCGAACAGTTGTATCACATCCACGAATTTGGTCTGCCTCCAACCCACATGCTTGCTGCAGCTTCTACATCCTCTAGATATCTTCTCATTAAGACCAGTACAAGTTTACAAGTCATCATTTCCTGGCCTTTTGACTTTAGCTTGGCCAGCGCCACATTCTTCTCTTCTTCTTTGGCATTGTGCTGCTCTGTAAGGCCATCCACAAACCTGGCAGAACCGCAGTGCAGCAACGACACATCCAATCTGTGCAGCTTGTCTTGCAGCTTAGATACTGCAAATGTCTGCATGCAAAACATCGGTGGCTTTTCCACCATAGTCGTCTGATCAAACGAACGTCACGCAGCTTTCGGGTTGTGTATTCTTGCATGGCTCAAATCTGCCTTCGAAAATCTGTCTCAATCTTCTCCTTCTGTTCCACGCTGGCTGCACTCACGTCCTTGTCCTGAAACGGCTTGCATGTGATCAGACACACCTCCGCAGTACAACCTCCTAAGCATAGACTGCAACAGGCTTAAATTACGGCAGTGTGACCTACTGTGGCGTATGATGAGGGAACCCCGCCTTTTGCTGGCCAGCCTGAGCATGGTCAGCACATCACCTACCTTGACCGACTGAGAAGACAACACTCAAGTTGTACGAGCCTTGGTCAACGTGCCCAGCAAGTTGCCTTTGAACAAGCCTTTGGCGCGGATAGCTTTCAACAGTACTCTTCAAAGCCAGAACGGTGAAAACAGTATGGGGAGTTAAGTTTGTGCCGGCTCATCTCTTGCCCAACTGTCGAATGCGGGCGGGTGAAGCCTGCCCTGTCTGCAAGCAGGCCACTGAACTCCGTTTCTACCTGACAAAGGGCAGAGAGCATTGCAACTGCCTACGACTCATGTTGCGGTGATCTGCGTGTCTGCCAGCAATTTGAGTTCATGAAGTCGCTGTCGAGATTCGCTCTTCCGTTCTTCGGCGAGCTGCTCAACAATTTTGTCGAGGTCAGGTATGCTTTTCCTAGGTCAAGAAATTACGGGAAGAAATGACCGATCAACACGTTGCAATTTGCAACAGAGCCTTCTCTGCAACATAGCCTGCACAGAGCCGCCAAGATTCATCTGGAAGTCCTTGATGAGAGACTTCTCGGCAGCGGAGCAATGTCTTTGATCGTCCACTGCGCAGACCTCGCTAGAAGTGTCATGACACTTCTCTGCACCTCTCTGCACCCGTCTGCCCTCAAAGTGCCCTACAGGCAGAAGCTGGGAGGTGACGAAATTCTCCAAGTCCCGAAGCTCCTCAGACCACAAGGCTTATGGCCGTAAACACGTGCGCAAACAAGTGGAAGAAAGCTTCACCTTCTTGCCAGCATAGTCATCCTTAGGCTCCGCCGTGCATGGGTTGTGAACTGCAAGCTGATGCTGTTTCTGTCAGCGTAGGCAGAGGACCCACTGGCCTGTGGAGAGAGAGAATGCTGGGAAAACTGGCCATTGCAATACAATGCAATCCAGGATCCAGATCATATGGATTCCCATACTTCAGAGTTGGAAACCTTTGTGGCACGCAGACAGACCGGCACTCTAGCCTGCTCTCGGTACCCTTCCAGCCAAGAGCTCTCACATGCATCCGGATCACAATCACCAGGGCGGCCGGGGAGCTTATCCACCCCGAATTCCAAACAGAATCGGGATGCCTCACCTCTTAAAGAAAGCAAGAACATTCCATCACAGAGCAGTACGCCACTGGTCTCACACGGCACCAGAAGTTTCACATGACATGTTCATGAAAGCCCAAACGTAACTAGGACCCCTGCCAGAACAGTCCACACTGGCGATTAAGGTGGACTTCTTCCTGCCCTTCTCCTCTGCGCACTGAGCAATGTCTGCGTGCTCGCATGCCACGGACGACATACATCAGAAACCATTGGAACATATTGGAACTTCGCGGCTCTTGAATTTCAACGGTCCTTGAACTTGAATTTCGCATTTGCCAGCTTGTCCCACGTCGGCTTGAGCATCTTGCAGTGATTGCACCACTCCGTGTGAAAGTTAACGAAGACCTACCAGCAGAAGACTGGTTCAGCTAGACTCTCTGATCGGCACATGGTGGTGCAGTGGTAGCCAGGCTCTGAGGACAACGCCGTCTTGCCTGCAACATGGCTGGCCCAGGTCCTGTGCATGGAGTGCGGCGAGAGCTCGGCAGTCACATATTCTGGATATGTTCTGATCTCCTCTCAGTGAGCTGTACCGCCCCCGCTACACCTCAGACGTGCAACGGCGGGAGGTGCCCATGGTTGAGTCACGCTACAAGCCCGGCGCTGTATCATCGGCATGTCTAGGGCTGCGGCTGTTGAGAAGAACAAGGAATCTTCCCGAAGAGCTGCCCATGCTACGGAGCGAGGTGTTGCAAGCAGCTTGTCACTGCTTGGTGCATATGTGAGTCGAACCCGAAATGCAGGTTTGACAGTCTCGCGAGTCGACTAGCCGGTCTCGCCGTGATATCTTGTAAACCCACCGGTTCTGCAAGCAGAACACGGCCGAAAAGATGGTCTGGCGGCGTGTCTTGGCTGTCACATGCTGTCGGCTGGATTCAAAGAAGGTCAAGGTGGTTTGAACGGCTTCTGACCCCGAGCTCGTGATGCAAGGTGGGTCAGGCCTTTGCATCCAGCAAGATCTTCAAGACCTGCACCGTTGCATGCTACTCCCGAGGAGAACATCCTTTGCAGAGCAGAGTCGCCTCCGAGTGGCCGTTCAAGGAGGCCCAGTGCACTGCCGAGCGTGCCCAGCGGTCGCTCCTCGGCTCAGGAACTCCGATGAACTCTTCAGAGCCGGGTTCCGAGGGCCCGACCACTCCAAGAATCCCCGAGATCGGGAATCCTTCATGGCCTCGGTTCCGGGCCGACATGGCCGAACCCCCTAAACTGAACTGGAGAAAGGCTTCCTAGCACTTATCCGGGGCCTGAAGCAGGCGGCGAAGCGCTTCGGCACTGCCACTTCGGGCGGCTGCCTGGAGCCGGATGAGCAACTGCACACCCAAATGACAGAGACCAGTATATGGCAAGGAATGATAGTCCATCAAATAACAAACACAAGCAAAGATCGAATCAACAAATGCTTCTTCAGAAGCATGCGCACGCTGCTGGGATAAGCACTGGGACCAAGCTGTTGTAAGATGCTACTACCTTCCTGATTGGAATCTCCAGAAATGCACCTTTCATGCTGGCATAGATAGAAACATTCAATCCCGATAGCCACTGCTGTCTGGGTCGACTCACTATTCTGCAAGTTGCACCGAAGAGTGTGTCTGGTCTTATGGCGAGCCTGTCTAAGTAACTACGCGGTCATGACACAGCCATGCAATGGATTACAGAACTTCGTCACACAGGACTAGACTAGAGTACACGAGAGCTGCATAAGCACATCGCAGGACATCTCAAGTCGGGCCAGCGGACATGGAGCAGCGACTGCCCCCGCGCGTCGCGGACAGTGAGAGGGGCCTTGGCCTTTAGCCTCGGCACTGGATCGAAGTCCCCTCAATTGGGAGCTACATTTAGTAGCAATAGATCTGGAACGTCTTATCTACCTTGCAGTAGTTGTGCGTACTCTATGTCTTTTTTCTTACATGCGTATGTACGTACACAAGGAAGCAATAGTGATCAGTAGTGTTTTTCAGCGCCAACTGCTGTACTCTGCCGTTTGAATTGTGCAAGACCGTCCGTGTGCGTCTGCCCTCTTATTCCTCACTGTGAGGCGATGCTTGGAAACGCTCGGAGTTCAGACCTGCATACATACATAGGTACAACATAAGTTTTTACCTACATGCCTACATACGTACATACATACATACATACAGACAAACACTTCCTTACCTACTTTAAATACATTCATGAATGACAGCGATAACCTATATTCTCCTCTTTCTTGACGTGCATACTCGTTCACAAACTCTGGTACAGACTGCCATTTGGCTGCATTCGCACTGCTCCCATCTTTCTGCGCACTAGTGCGCTCGCTAGTACTCCGCGATTTCTCTGCTGAACCGACGATGGTGGCAATATGCTAGCCAGCATCACTACAACACTGTTGGCAGTAGATCTCACCTTCTCCGTACCAGAGAACCACCTACCATTAGACAGCGATTCGTCGTGCTGGGAGTCTAGTCGAAATAGCACACTCGTACGAAGTGGCACTAGTGAAAAGGAAAACGAGATTTGCATGGTGAAGCATAGCTGTCGTCAACGGAAAATACAATCCCGTCGTAGAGCATGGCTCTAAAACAGAGAAAAGCACCTCAAGCAACATGCCACACGGAAAGGAAAAGTGACTGCCTCGTCACGTCTTTTCATGGATACTTGTTTCTTCTCCGGCTAGCGGTATGACCATCAGTCTTGCTGCTCTTCTTTCTCTAAGTCACTCTACTTACTATTACTGCTGCGACCACTGCCACTACTGCTACCACTTCCACTGCTAAAAACTACTGCTACTACTACCACCACTACCACCA